GTTTTTTTTTTTTTTACAATTTTTCAATAATTTAATTTTTTTTAAAAAAAATTTATCTCCTTATTTTTGTTTCTGGGAGTCAGATAGATCAATAGCTTTTATCATTATAGCAATTAACAAATGCCTATCAAAGTAATTGATGTATATTAATGATCAAAGATATAATGTTTTATCTCAAAAGTTTTTACATAGATGCAATGTGATGTATATATATATAATAGATATATAATTTGATATACATGGTGATTAAAATTTTAATTGCCAACAAAGATACTAGATTAAGATGAAATTTTAAAAAAAATTTGCAACTTTCTAAATAGTTAATTACTTCATATTTTAATATATGTCCATTATATTTAACATAAAGACAGCAACATAAATTCAGAAAAATAATAAATTTTTATTTATGAGGCTAAATAGCAAGACTCATATAAATATAGTTGAAAGTGCTTAATTTTTGTACTCTTTATCAGTACTCAATAAATATTATGTGTCGAGTGAATTTGCAAATTTTCATGAGGATGGGTATTAATGGAAGAGTAGAACCAAGTTTAAAGGCATGGGACAATAATTTTTATTTATTTTTATTTTGAAGTAAGGTGGAGCAAACAATTTCAAAAGTAACAAGGGACAAATTAATTGACACCTAACATGCTCAAAAGTTGACGAGTGTGACACTCAACATAGGGTTTATTGACACCTAACATGCATGAAGTTGGCGATTGTGACACTACATATACGCATATAAATACACATATAAATACACATATATGTAGATATATGTAAATGTAAATCTAGAACAACTCACACGGCTATTTATTAATCAAAGTTATAAATACATATGACCTTAGGTAGTATCATTACATGTGTTGTTCATTAATGATATTGTCCATCTTCGTGATACACTTGAAAAGATTGGACCTCTTCTCTACTCAGAGCATCTCTTACGGACAAGGTTCTATATATATATTTTTTTGTGTAAATTTCACGGGTCGTGGTAATTTTATATTAAAAAAAAATTTAGACTAATTATTTTTACAAACTTACTTAATATAAGGTTGATTCGTTAATGGAATGAGAAAAGAGGAAAAATAAAATATGCTCGGTTGATTCGTTAATATAATGAGAGAGAGAGAAGAAAAAAAAATATGTTGATGTAGTTGTGTAGAAAGATTGTGCAAAATATATAACAAATTTACATAATAAAGTGACAATGTATTTTAACATATGTTGGAGATAAAAAAAAAAAAAAAAAATACACATTGTGGATGTGGTCTTTTAACACACTGCGGCGGGATGCTCTTAGGCTAGTTTAGTCGGAAAGAAATGAAAAGAAAAAAGAAAAAAAGAAAAAGAAAGGTAATGGAGGAATATTAATTTTTGAGTTTTGGTATAAAATTTTGAAAGGAAAAGAAAAGGAATGGAAGGATTTGAAGAGATGGTGGGTTGGTTTTGTTAATTTTTTAAATATGGAAAGAAAGACTAAACATTTCTAATATAACTTTGTTAATATCAAATTTATTCTTATGACAATAAATTTATTAAATAAATTTTTTTTTCTTCTTTTCCTTCATTAATAAATCAAACATTTCTAATATAATTTTGTTATTACCAAATTTGAAAGACTAAACATTATCTTCTCATTTTTTAATTTTTCTTTCTCATAACTAGTAGGATTTTTTTGTTTTTGTTTTTTAATTCACTATACCAAACATAGCTTCAAAGACGTGGCTTGAAAATATTAGAATTAGACCTCTTGTTGTACCAAAGAAAATCCTTCACGTATTTGTCTATTCACAAAAAAAATGTTCAAAAATCAAGCAAACTCCCCTTGTACTAGAGAAAATCCTCCTCGTACAAAATTTAAATCCATGCACAAAAAATGTTCAAAAATAAAGTACCAGAGGTTCCAAACATTGAATGCTTAAGGAACTTTCTTGGTACTGGCCAATGAGACCATACTAGCTATTGAGATATGATTCAGGAAGACCAAAAAAAAAAAAAAAATGATAAAGAAAAAGAAAAAAGAAGCTAGTGAGATATGAAAATATTACGTCCAAACTCCCTAGGTTATATACAAAAGTTGTCCCTCATGCTAGTTTGCATTGCACTCAACCACACACGAAAAATATCGCAATCACCCTCTATTGAGATCCCAACACAATTTCAAGGCATCCCCGATAATCTGGAACGTCACAATCACCCTCTGTTGAGACCCAACACAGTTACTAGGTGTTAACACCCAAATTTGACCCACATTCATATACATATTATTTTTGCATTTTTGGGCCAACAACAATGAAATGGTGACCTTTTAGTTCTATTTTGATAAAACTCCTTATCATCTTAAAACACCCATATGTTACATAGCTATCAAATGATGATATTACAAGAATTGAGTAAAGTTGAAAAGTGAGCTTTTAGTTTGACCAATGTTAGTATGCAATGTAAGAAGTGATCCGAATGGCCGAAGAAATGACACCACTTCCATGCCCCAAATTTTTTAAAGTTAGACATTGTGGTAAACAACATCGAAGGGAAATCCGCCGTAAAAGAGTATCAATTAATTTTACTAAAATGACGATGAGTAGAAAGTTTAACACAAACACTCGTAGGTCTATGGACGAGTGAGTGAGTTTTTCCTTCTTTTATGTGAAATTTTATTTTCATATTTCACATCTTTATTGGATTGTTGGAGCTCACCAACTATTAAGTTTGTTAGTTTGGCTGGCATGTGAGCCAGGAGGATCTACCAGTTTCTATATTGGCTGAATATTTTATGGTTCTTCCTTGGCCATCGCCACAATATTCTGATACTCTGGCACTTGGTATCTAAATGATGCCTAGAATAACATCTTAGTCATCTAGACTCATTTTTAGTATCTATATTGATGTTACGTTGTGCTACTAAAGACCAAAATTTTGATTTGGTCAATGCTGCCATACAGATTGCAATATTCAAGCTAGCATATAGTGGCAACATTTTAGTATTAGAATTGTCAAAAATTTTGGCCGAAGACCGGAATTTGCTACCAGATTCTATTACTCATTTTGGCTTGTATTACCTTCTCTTAGAAATTGAGGCCAAAATTGGCTATACAATGGCCTTGAACATGAGAATCAGCCTAAATAACTCTTCAAAAATTTGGTATGAACCCATTTTCAAAGAGTTAGGGGCAGTTGTTAACACCCAAATTTGATCCACATTCATATACGTATTATTTTTTGCATTTTTGGGCCAACAACAATGAAAGGGTGACCTATTAGTTCTATTTTGGTGAAACTCCTTGTCATCTTGAAACACCCATATGTTATATAGCTATCAAATGATGATATTACAAGAATTGAGTAAAGTTGAAAAGTGAACTTTTAGTTTGACCAATGTTAGTATGCAATGTAAGGAAAGTCCAAAATCTTGGGCAACACACTTTCATAGTTTCCTTATCTAAGGGTGAAGAATGAGCAAGGTGATGACGTGGCACACATCAAGCAATGGTAACATGGTTGGTGCTTTGGAGAGAAATTCACTATAAATATCCAACCAAGACTATAAGCAAGAGGATCCCAAAAAAAAACCCAACATTACGCTTCTCTTTCTTATCTCCTTTAGGCCACTAGCCTTTTTATTTTCTCCTACCAATAGTTCATAATGTAGTTTTATAACTCATCTTCTATTTAGTTTATCAACTTTCATCTATTTAGTTTATCAACTTTCATGTAAACTTATCATAGTCATTGTCTTACTCTTTAGTATTAGTTGATTATCAATGTTTCCACTTTTATTCCCAATGCTCTAGTTTATGTTATATTCTAGTTTGTACTTTGTATTTTCATTAGATGCTAATGAAATATCACTTTGTTTTAACAAGAAGATGTATTCATTCAATTTGCCACCATTATTTTCTCATTCATTTTACTCTTCGCATCATCTTCATCAACCATTTGAGAAAAATTTAAGTCTCTGTTACCAAGACAATGCTAACCCAGTAGGAGGTGTAGGAGGTGTTTTCCCCGCCTCCTCACAGTCGCCTAACCAATTTTCAGGACTAATCCAACATGGGGAATATGGTTCGGCTCATACCCTGAGTTCGGGTCAAGGACTCTGGCACACCCGCAGTTCTCAAGAGCCGAAAATTATGCAAACACTAGGCATTCACCATCTACAACCCCTCTTCGTGGCCAAAAAAAAAAAAATCTACAACCCCTCTTCCTCAATGATGTGGGATACATACAAGTGTGAACAAAATCTCTCCTCTAATAACCGACACAATCATCCTCTTGAGACCCAATAGTCAATACAGTCAGAGACTACGCACGACCCCCACCCCCCCAAAATTGATGTGGGACGTCACATTTACCCATATCCCATTTGTTTTTCCATGGATGACACCAGCTGAATATTTTCAGAAGAGATCACTTGCTCAAACTTTTTGCCTATTGCAAAAACAAGGAAGAAAAACTTAAAAGAATATCTTGAAAGTTAGGAGTACCAATTCCCTCAAATCTACAACACTTCAAGGAATTGAGTGACTCGCCATCTTACTCTACTTGCAAGATTGTTCACTGATAAAATGGATCATCTTCATTGAATAAATATAATATAAAGGAGATTTTACTACTTGCAATATTTTTTTTGGATATGCATTTACTTGGAGGAAGAAATTTCAGCATCATCGTACTTTCCAAGATGGGAAGGCATGCTATGTGGAAAAGTGGATGTTCAAACCATATTAGCATATTGTCCACTTTGCTGATTCCTTCACTTAGCATATTAGCATTGTTGTAAATCATAATACCAGAATGTCCAAAACTAAAGAGGAATATTAATCTAATCACATAAAAACTAGATTAAAATGAATGCAATGCATCAAGTAAGAACAACAACTAGCATCCACATGGTGATGAGATGACTAGAGGATGCATTGGAACTTGGAAACATGTCAAAAGTTCATCGGCAAAAGGAAAAGTTCGTCGCACTAAAACTGACCAACAAGGGAAGATTTTACATACAACCAATGTGAAGTGCTTTATGATTATTAGAATCATCTTAATTCTCAATAAATTCAAAAAAAGACATCAATAGAAGAAATCACACTACTTTTTATAAAGCTAAACAGGTGACGCTTCTACGAATTGGTCCATAGGAAACAAAAAAACTACATTATAGATTCACACACATCTTTAAAATAAGCCAAGCAGGTATGGTTACTGACATGAGCAAAAGTAATATTACCATCTGAAGCTTCATCTAGTGATGGGCACAGAAAATGAAAGATCGTAGATGGAAAAGTTTCACTCTTGCACGTCATTATCAGCAGGAATAACTTTGGCACTTGGTATTTACAGTGAAGAAGTAATCAAAGCTCCTTTTAGATTACTAACCACCACCACAGACAAGAAATTCCCTGCACATTATACTCAGTTGACAACATCCTTATCATGTAGGAAGCAAATAAGTTGTCACAAGCTTCCCTGCAGTTGGTTAAGAAGCATTTCAGCTCCATCACTAATGTTGCTGTCATCATCATTATCAATTTTACCTTTCTCCGCAAGCAGTTCCTCTCCATTAGGCACCCTGTTAGATATGGGGATATATGACATATAAGCTTCATCTTCAAAACACCCCATTTGCCTCAAAATCCCAACCACTACCTCCCTACTTGCTGTATCGGCTTCTTGCTCGCATAGCTTGAGAAGGGAAGTCATGTTTGCAGGCTTTGGTTTCCAGTTCTTCGATCGCTCAGCTGAAGTGGCCTCCTTCAAACAAGACAAAGCCTCAGAAATCCTCCTCTCTCTGATATGCCCTTCTGCAAGAATTTCCCATGTACTCGAATTTGGCTTTCCTCCCATTTCAACCATTTGTTTAAATAAAGCCTCAGCATTCTCCAAAAACCCTTTTTTAACATAATAACTCATGAGAATATTTACTATTCTAGGGTCATATGTTGTCTTAATTGACAGCCAGTCGTCAAAAATCTTCTCTGCCCCTTCAATATCATCCAACCTAGCCAAAGAAGATATCACAGCATGGTAACCCAAATTTGGAATATTGGGAAAAACTGATTTGTATATATTCCAAACCCGATGAACCTCCTCCTTGTTACCAATACCACCATACAGACTAATGAGATAATGATAAGGAATTCGATCACGTCCAGTGATTCTACTCTCAACATTCTTTAAACACTCTTCAGCTTTTCCCAATAGTCCCAGCTTAAGGTACATTGTGGCCATTGTGCTGAATGTAGTCCAGTTGGGATTAATGGTTCGGTTCAGTTTCATCTGTTCGAAAACTTGTTCCATCTTTTCTACAGATCCCAGGGATCCACGACAAGACAACCATATATTATATGAGTATATATCTAATGGTATCTTTTTCTCCATCATCTCTGAAATCAAGGAGTCAACTTTATCATAATGTTTAAGGTTCATATAGAGAGTCATCATCACATTGAATGGAAGAGGGTGTGTAGCATAACCCTTACTTCTCATTTTGTCAAGTAAAGATTCTGCCTTTTCTCTCACTCGACCATGCACATAAGCATTTAGAAGGGCCCCATATGTCCGTTTGTCCATTAATGTATCAGGCAAGTTCAAGAAGTAATCTTCGGCATTTGATATTCCCCGCACTTTGGCAATTAGGTCTAGTTGAATTGCAGTGTCACTGGTGGACATTCTAAACCTATCTCCTCTGTTATTCATCCATTCGTAGACCTGAAAAATACGAGAAAATTTCATAGCTGATGTGATAGCAGGACAACAGATGGAAAGAAAGAAAGAGCCAGAACTTGGAATTCCTTAATCCCATACACCAATTTATTGTGTTATTCAGCAACAAGTAGAACAGACAGAAATCGAAACAAAACTCAAAGATACCAACTAACAGAGTTGTTTCGTGGGCCACTACCCATTTCACAGATTTGATTTTTATTTGAATGGAAAGATAAAGGTTAATGATGAAAATCTAATCACCATTCAGAGTGATTGTAAAAGGCTCTCCTCCAACCAATAGACTCTACTAGAAAAACATATACATCTATTCATTTTAAATATAGATAAACAAGATGACATTATCAAAATCAGTAATAACCTCAAGATATAAATTTATACTAACTAAAAGTGATGAATTTCTGGCAACTCAAATTACTGATGCAACAATATCTACAAAATTATATGGTCTGGGGAAAGTTCAAAAAAAAAAACCCTTCAATGAATTGAGTATTTGCTGCTAATCCCCATAAAATAATTCTTTTGCAGAAAACTCCTGGATCTATTAAAAGTTCTGCAATTGTTCCCCTTGCCATCAAATGGCCACTTAAAACATAACAGAATTTAGTCATTGGCATTGCACAGGACTGACATTTTTACTATTATGATAATTATACCCCTTGAATCATTTATGATGACATGTTCAAGTCAATTCCAGTAGTCACTCCATTTAGGCACCTCTCCAAGGTAATCCTATTACACACTTCACTCCTGCAATTCAACCAAAATCTCTTTTGATCAGCCAAAATCTTCTCCCCACTCCCATTCTTCTGTTCATTCTTGGAAATGTAGACTTGGGAAGATGAAAGTACTCAACTTACCTCAAAAGTGATGCTGACACTAACAGAATCAAATGTGCAAAAGCACACAATCCATCAAGTCAAACATCCACAAATCATACCACATACCCAAGAATCAGAACACAAACCAAATATAATAGAAATGCCAACATAGGTTTCACTAGGAAGCTTGTTTTGAACAGAGTCCGATAGACACAACTAAGAAATCAATTTACTACCCATATTAGGCTTTACCTCAAGAGTGAGTTAACCATAAACATAATCAATCCTCCTTAAATTCATAGATCTACCAAGTCAAACAAAGTGTACCAAAAGTACCAGACACCCATGAAACAAAACACAACCAAGCGATTAAGCACACACCCAATACCCAATTTGAGCTCTACTTTAAGATCAACAGTATATACCAACAGAAGCAAACGGGATTAAATTAAAAGCCTTATAAATCATATTCATGGATCAAATTAAACATAATTATCATAAATATACAAAAATATAAAACACCCATTCATCAAATAAAACCAAAAATCGAAGCATAAATAAGCACAGAAAATTTGAGATACCTCCAGAGCAAGTTTGTAACGCTTGAATTTCCTCAGTTCTTTGACAATCCTGCAAAGTTCCCACTTTGTGAGCCTCTTCCCGTCATTCTCATACTGATTCAACACAGTCGCAGAGCCCAATTCTGGGTTCTCCATCATCGATATTTTCTTGTATACAGAGTTCCATTTCACCGGTGGTCTTCTCTCGTAGTCCACTGTTCCATAGCTGTGAACCTGTGATATTGAACAAGTGATAACTGGGTGATTGTGCATTGTAATGGTTCGAACAAGGGTCGAACCGCGAAACCCAAAAGGAATTGAGAATGGGTGAGAGGAAGTTGATGAGAGAGAAACATGCTGGTGAAGGGGCGATTGAATGAAGGTTGATTGAAGTAGCATTTTGATATTAGGGTTTTGGAGTAGTGTGAGGCATCAAATGTGAAGCCTCTTTGTTAATGTGGGGTTTTGGGACTTCTCAGTGGTGAACTTTCCGAAGGATTGGTTTGAGGATAAGCTTGGGTGAATGATCTTTGTAGCTTAAAAGTACAAAACGCTCATTTTGCCCTAACACCACTATGTTTAATTAGTTAAGTTTTCTATTTTCAATTTGTATTTTTAAAATACTCCGTAAAAAAATATATATATATATATATAACAAATAAGGATATTTTGTCAATTTGAAAACTGAAATACTCATATTGCTCTTAAGACAAAATAAAATTAAAAATATTAATTTAAGTTTTTAATGGTATATTGCTGATCAATAGATATTAGGGGACAATTTGCACGTATCTTCACATTAGGGCTGCAACTCCGATGGGTTGGGCGGTGAGGTATAATTTGAGCCCAACTCACCATATGAAATCCTCAACCCAAGCATAATCTATCCTTCTATTTTTAAATTCGAGCTTGTAACTCGAGTTTAGATTTCGTGTTAAAACTTTAAGTTAATTCGAGTTACTTATATAACTAATCTATAAATCGAAAATTTAATATGATCTTAAATTAGTTTTAGATTAAATTACTCTTAAACAAAAAAAAATCAAAGACTTTTTATATATTTTTAATAAATGATAAACAATAAATTAAGATTTAAGAAAGAAAGTTGAAAAGATAAAAAAGTAATCATAGTTTAAATAATATATATAATGTATCGTAAAGTAAAAAAATATATAAAAATAATATTATAATTCGGATTCAGGTTGCTAGCACTTCAACCCAAGCCCAACCCTAATTCAATTCGGGTTGAGATTTTTCAACTCAAAGTCAACCCTAATTGTAAAAATGATTGTCCAAGCCCGCAAAAAATCAGCTTGGGCTTGAATTGAGTTCGGGTTTTCTAACCCAAGTTGCATCCCTACTTCACATGTTAGAGATTTTATATGCACATACTAAATAGGTGTATTTTGCACATTTTTATATAGCATGATTTTTTGTTTTGCACTTTCTCCTTTTATTAAAATTAAATTTTATTTTCTAAGTACTTAAAAATCGTTTTTCCAAAAATTGTACCAAACAATTATTTATCACTTCACACATATATATAGTTTTTGGAATTTATTGTAAAGTATTAATGCTTTTAAATATTATTATTTTTGAATAACTTTGATATTCAAATTCGATAAGTGAGTGTTAAAGATTATTTTTGGAGCCTCAATATTAAATGCATTGTGAAAAACCTATTGTAACATATGTATTGTTAGATAATTCAATTTAATATTTAATTATGAGAGATTAAGTATTTGTCTAATAAAATATTTTAATAACACAACTAAAATATCACTTGAAAAGCTAAACACCACTTGAAATTGAAGAAACTTTTAAGTGATAGCAATTTGATTCAATATTACTGAATGATGAAAAATTAAAATTCAATATATATATATATATATATATATATGAAAACAATATCAAGTTTTAATTACCACTTAAAATTTTTGGCACTTAAAATTCAGCTTTTAAAATTTTCAATACTAAATTTATCCAGTTTGATCAAACAACACTATAGGCTGAATCTGTTATTGACAACCTTTGGCACATCAGAAATTATGTATTTTTTAAATTTAGAAAAATTAAAATAATATTAAATGAAATATGAAAAGAGTATATTGGTCTTTTTATGAATCTATTGCACGTGCAAAGTGTGTGATTTGCTTCTTCTTTTTTTTTCTTTTTCTTTTTTTAAAGTTTTAGTGGTGACCAAATTTTAGATTGTGTTAATCAAGGAGTTATTTGTCATATAAATCAGATAAAGTAATTACAAAAGTTAAATAATATGATATGAAATTTAGTTACTTGTAATTTTTTTTGTTTTATCTGATTTGGTTAGCTATTACCTCTGTTATGATTTTTATAAAGGATTTTGGGTTTTATATAATATATTTATTTATATCAAGGACCTAAGTAGCGAGGATATCAGTGATGAGTATGTTGTAAATCCTCACCAGTGAGGAATAAGTATTATTTTATTTATAAAATCATGTAAATAATTAATCGACTTAATCAACTGCATTTACATACCAATCTCGTTGTATACTAGTGAAACTAATTCTCCGGCACCATAAGCCTCCACCGTGGCAAAAGGATCATCTTCTACCCAAAAATTTACCAGAACCAAAATAATTGATGTGGCCGTGACCAAAGTCGCGAAAAGTTGAAAAGCAGCGCGTGTCAAAATTAACTCAACCACGGTCACAATAACTGGGAAAGCAAAGACTCAACTATTGTCGATGGCGTTGTTGATTGTGCAGTGAATTGCCAGAAATGTTCGTGGCTAACAAATAGATTAATGAAACTTTTCTGTTTGACACGATGGTTATGGAGAGTATCAGCCACACAAACAATGTGTAGTATAATCTGAAATAACTCAAGTTTCTGAAGATTCGAACCGTGGCCGCTTTTGGGCAACAAGGAATGTTGAAGGGGCACATGAAGTTGTTGTAACGGCCCGAACCCGTGGGTCCGAACCGTTAACCGAGTCCTTACCCGAATCCGAGGTCAACTAAATCATACCATCCATTTCCTGTGTCTATAACTGTCAAACGAGTTAATTCATTATCCAAAATGCTCCAAGACACGACCTTACAAAGAGGGTCAAATATGCAAGTCAATGAGGAAAGGGTCGGTCAGTTGACAGGGCCTGATCGCTCGGCTAGCCTACCCGGTCGATCGGTCTGACAGGGTATGCTTGTTCGGATGGCCTACCCTGTTGGTCGGTCTGACAGGGTATGCTCATTCTGATGGCATACCCGGTTAGTCGGTCTAACAGGATATGCTCGTTCGGATGGCCTACCCGGTCGGTCTGTCTGACTCACGTGGTCGGTCGTTCTGACATACCTGGTCAATCGTTCTGACCTACTTGGTCGATTGTTCTAACAGGGCATAACCGGATGGCTCTGTCGGTCGGCTGATTTTCCTTGTCAGTCGGCCGACAGGCCCTAGATAGCTACTATATGCAGCCTGATAGTCTAGAAACCTGGGCTCTTAGTGAGCAGCCAAACTTGATAAACAACTTGATGTGCAGCCAAACCCAAATTCACAGCAATAAAACATGACATTTAGACATCTATAAAAGCTCAAAACATAACCCCATGTCCCATTTGTTATAACATGTATACATAGTTCCAAATATACAACAAATGTTCCTCTGAGAGTCTAGTTACACTATAAAATGAATACATCCACGGGTTACAGCTTTACAAAGAATGGGCACAAGTGTACAAAAGGTAATAAAATAAACTTCAAGTCTCTAAACTAACTTTGTGGTGGACCATTATTTGTTATTTCTTTCCCGAGCCCTGAAAATATTAAGATAATAACGAGGTGAGCCCAAGCTCAGTAGGTGGTACCTAGGACACACCTCTTGAAACCCAATGAATCTAACAATGAATAGAAAATATAGAAGCGCGGTCATGCCATACCAGGTAAACGAAGCACAAAATCGACATTCTAAGTCGTAATTAAATTAAGCCATGCAATGAGATACAATGTCATGAAGTGTCTCTCTCCCTCTCCCCAATTTCCAAAACAATTCTGATAACACCTCTATGGCGTCACGAGGAGAAAGTTGGCTAGCAATCCTCGACCACATGACACCTCCATGGCATCGTCTGGGCCTAGATAGCTCAACTTCCCTCTAAATTACATTAACACCACGGACCACTAGGCACCTCATAGACGTCCAGGTTTTCGGAAATCTTTCACTAATCCTTTTTCTTAAAAACCATTTACTTTTCATTTAAATCAAAATTTCCCATTTCATGCCCAATGATTTGCATGGATGTCTCATGCGTTCCAATGCTATGTCAACAAGGAACTTTACAACTCACAAAATTAACTTGCTTCCATACAATAAATTTCAACAATTTGTATATAATTGACATGGAAATTTACACATAAGCATGCTTTCTCACATAAATCATCTATTTCACATAAACATATAATTCATATACAACACATAATTCATTTTAAGGAAAAACCAACACCATGTAACATGCTAAATCACAGATCATGGAGAAATAAACTCATTAAGGCCTCAGAAGTCATGGATTAAGAACCACTACCTCAAAGAAGAAAAAAGCCCCCAATTCTCCAAGCCCTCATTCGAAATTCCAAGAATTGGCCAAAGCTGAAATTGCTTATATCAATGTGAAGATCTCGCTGAGCTCTTCGTTTTGCCGCAAACGGCACCAAAAATCTCCTAATGGTTAGAGATAAATTGAAACTTGAAATTTGAAGCAAAAGAAAAGAAAAATAAAGGTAAGAAAGAGAGAGAGAGGGATCTTCCGGGGAGAGAGGAAGAAATTGAGGCAAATTGATGGCCTAATGGCCACTAATGAAAGTGAGTGGGAAGTGGGCCCTACCACTATACCAAAATATCCACATTTTCTTTTATATATATATATGAAATTAATTTCCACCACACATTTTAACCCACAATAATACGATTATGCACCAAAATAAATATGCATGAAATGCAATGGACCAGTGACACAACTCCCATGCACAACAATTTTGGTATCGGATCCCACCTGGGATTGTTCAGCCTGCAAAATGAAAAAATGCCGAAATGGTAACCGGTGCATTTCCAAGAGTTCTGAACTCAATGGAGTGCCATAACCAACTCTCGGACAGGCCCGGTACACCCCACGGTGTCAGGCACACAAAACGAGAAAAGACGAAAATGCCCTCGTAAAATTAGAAAATTCCAAGAAATGAAAAATGGTAAAAAATTGGAAACATCACAATTGTATTAGATCTTTTGTATGTCATAAGAGGTACCAGCATTGTCTTATTTACAAGATGGTTCAATATAATTTCAGGCCCTAGGCAAAAAAATAAAGTGGTCTTTTAATTAAATCTATCTATATATTTATACCAATAATATGCTAATTATTTGTTTAGTGATTTTTTTACGTATCAGTAAAAAAATTTCAAACTCTAGTTCCATCATTAATTAATTGGCTATGTGCTTTCTAATAGTCACATTTAACATATAAATAAAAATTATAAACAAAATATATAATTTTATG